TGTTTCCTTGTCTCCTTATTAGATTTGCAAAGGAATTACTCATTGCAGGCAGTTTGTTCAAAAGGCAAAGAACTTTTAATTTCAACATAAGTTTCTTCATATCTAAGACAACGTTCAGTGTATAAACTGCTCTCTTGCTTTCTTAAGGATTTTAAAGTGGCTTGTTTGCTCTTAAAGGTAGCTTTTTGTCTTCCAACTACTGTAAAAATTTTGCACAGCTATTAGGGTAAATAAGGGATTTTACCAACAGAGCCCCCAAACCGTGATGCACCTAGTTCCATATCCTTTCAATTTTTCCAATGGAACTGACACTTAAACTCTTAGATGATTTTCCTCCTTATTCTTTTAAAAGCTGTATTTTAAGTTTACCAGGAACGTATTTTCGAGCTGACAAAAAGTGTTTCAGGGCAATGTCGCCATCTTTAGCGGAAAAACTACCTTTCCCAGAATGCATTTCCCTTATATCAGTCCATAATATTATCAGTCCTTTATATCATTTCCCTTATATCAGTAATTTCCCATAGTTCTTTTCGGGTCTGAGAGTCAACTGGTTCTTTTTTACCAGACTTGTTTACAAATTCTTCCCCGGGAGGTTTGAACAAAGTTTTTTGCTTTTGCAACGGGAAATTTGAACAAGCATTTTACATTTTCAATTATGGGACATTGGGAGATTTCTGGTCTCTCCTTAACTGGCTTTAACAGGTGTTTCTCCTTCATTTGACACTGGCCCCAGATCAGAACTGCACCTGCCTCCTCAGTGCGCATTGAGGCCGGCATTTCTGATAGCAACTTTCCTTGGGGCTTGTGTTTGTTTTAGCCAGTCAGTGAAAAACATTTACAACAACTTTCCCATAGCTCTTTCAGAGAGATTTTCTCCCACTGATTTTTTCTCATTTTGCTCGTTCCTTTCCCCGCAGATGCAGAGCTTCAGATATCTCAGGCTGCTCTGTTCCTCTGCTAGCTGCCTTTGGAGGTAGGGGCTTTTTTTTCTCCCCCCGAATCTGCCTTAAATTCTAGCAGCTTTTTCAGGTCATATATTTCTGGGGAGGATCATGTCCCTTCTGTTTCTTTGGAGTCTTTCCCAAACAGTTCCCAGTTTGGTCTCAGTTTATCCCCTCTACCCCAGAAACAGTTTCCGACACACAGTGGCGGCTTTCCCTGCTACTGAAGGTAGGGGCTTTTTGTCCGTTTCTGTTTTCGGGGTCTGTGTGGTTTGCATACAGACTGAAAATCTAACAAGGGAGGTTTTTGCCATTTCTAAACTCCCATTAGGACAGGTGTTTTGCCTCATCAGGCCTTCACCTGGCCCAGTCCCCCAGTGGGTTGCTTTTGCTTGTCTGGGTGCTCAAGGACAGAGCTTATGCCAGAGGCAATCACCCCTCAGGGCTACACTCCCTCATCTCAGGGAGTCAGTTGAAACAAAGCTTTTCTCAAAAAGATGCTTTCTCGGATAGAAAAGAAAGCTTTACTCCTGGATAGTTCTGTTCTGCCCTGGCTGGGCTCTTTTCCCAGACAGTGTTCTGACTCGGCAGCACGACTGCTTCAGACACAGTTCAGCTTTACTGTTTTCCCAGACAGGTCCTTACTCTGATAGGAAAGCTTTTCTCAGATTTCTTTTTGCAGCTGTGGACCTATCAACCCGGGACTTGTAGGAAAGCGGACAACTGTGCCGTTCCCACTGTCTTTAGCTTTGTTTGTTCATTAGCAATCTTCCCCTGGATCCTGCACCTTCCTGCCTCAGCTCTGTGCTCCAGGAAGTTTGCAACTGCAGGAACCCTAGTATCCCCGAAATGCACTCCAACTCAGTCACCTTTGGGTTTTTGGTCAGAAGCGAGGATACAATGCTAACAGTTTGCATTGCTTCAGGGGATCTTTGCATTAGGATGATTAGGAGCACCTTTTCATTCTGAAATGCTCAAACAAAACCCTTGATGCCTCAGCTTGGCTGTAACTGAAAAGCTTGGCTTTTTTGCTTTTCTCAGGTAAAGTTTCCTGCCCTTTTGGGCTCTGTAGCTCTTCACCCACACTCTCCCAAGTGTTTCCCTCAGGGTACTCTGACCCACTGTCTTTTACTGGCTTGAAGAGACAGAGCTTAGAAGAGAGGTTTTTAGGAACTTGTCCCTGCCTCCTGCATTGCAGGGAGGATTTTTAAAGCTTGAAAGAACTTGGAGAGGTTTTGCTGTCTTAAGAGGTTTGTTTTTTTCCCTTAGAGCTAATCACAGGTGGTCCCCATACTAATATCTTCAGGTGATTCTAATTTTTGTCCTTCTGAGAGAGTGAGTTCTGAAAGGCTTTAGTTTTTAAGTTTGAGAGCTTTTAGTTTAAGATTAAGACTTTTTAGAGAGTTTTTTCCCAAGTTTTCCAAAGAAAGCTTTTGAGAATTTTTTTCCCCCAAGAGAGAAAGACCAACTTTTCCCCAAAACTTCTGAACTTTAAACTTTGACTTTTTACACCCCCATTTTTGCCTCAGGGAGAAATTACTTTCTCCTGCCGCTTGGACTTAGCATTTCAGCTGTCCCCAGGTCAAAAGCTTCCATTGGAAACTTTTTCTTCCCCATAAGCTCAGAGAAGAGCTTTTTTACTACCCGAAAAGCCCAAAGAAAGATTTTTTTCCCAGTTTGCATTCATAGCCCCCAAAGTTAGAAAATTGAAGAGTTTTTCTGTCTAGTTGCCTTACTTATTTTTTCCTACACAATCTTACATTTCTGTTTTTCCTAAACTATATTACTACGCTATACCTTATACTTATTTTTCACAGATAGAAATTGAGAAAGGGATAGAAGATAGAAAATTTTGACAGAAAAGAATTTCGCTGCAGCATCGGACATCCTTCCAGTCCGCTTCCTTTTCTCTCGAGGATAAAACCCCTGCCTCTCAATATATATAAAAAATATATATTTTCCATAACACCGGCATGCCTTATCCACTGGCAGGGCTGAACTCAGCACTTTCGCCAAAAACTCTGTAATAAAACTATTATTTTCCTTTATCTTTAGTTCCTATTACTTTGTCTTTAGTCCCCCCTTTTTTTAGTCCCCCCTTTTTTTCTTTAGTCCCTTTTTTTTCTTTTATCTTTAGTCCCTGTTCATGGCGCCATTCTGTGGGGCGTTTACCCAACCACCCCCACAGTTCCCCAGAGTTTTCTTGAGTGCGAGCAGCAGGAAATATTAGATAGAAGGATTTATTGTGGAGAATCTTGTGGAGATAAACAGATAGAAAATAAAGGATAGCCTCGAGAGGGCCTGGAACCTATTCCAACGGGCCCGACTGTCTCTGCCCCAGGGTTTTTATAGAGACGCCAAGGGGTGGAACAAAAGACCTCCTCCCCCAGCACAGCCAAGTGCAGACCATCCCAGACACCTGCACTCAGGCCCGTGGTCTAATCATCCTCTATGCGGACCTGCTGGGTAAAGCCACAAGGAACCCGAGAACGGGCTCCCAGAGTCCTCCTAAGTTGTTTTTTTTTTAATCTTGATAATTTTCTTTTTGATACACGGTTTCATGTACCTGGAAATCAATATGTAGCCCAGGATCCTCCTGCATCCCCTCTGGAGTGTGAGGATTACAGGCTGTACCTCCACACTACTGTATGAGCCTTGCTCAGCCCTGATTTCCTTCTCCACTTTCTCCTCCGCTCTCTCTTGACTTCTTCCCATCTCTGCCTCTACTTCCCCTTTTTCTGGGACACCTGCTCTGCTGTTCTTTCCAGTAGAAGCCTCTAGAACATCTGGAGGTACCTCCTTCTGGCTTCATTCCTACTGGAGTGTAATAGGAACTCAGGAAGTCCAGGGCAGGTGAGGCAGGCCGGAGGGGCAGAGGGGATGGAATCCTAGGTGGAGGAGCTGGTGTGCACTCAGCTTCTGGGCTGAAGAGCTGGGTCAGTAGAGGACGAGTGTCTGAACATGGTCTGAGAATGGAGTCATGGGAGGAGATTCTGAGTGCTGTGAGGAAACTCCATGAAACATACCTCAGTTTCTTCACAACATGGAATTGTTCTTTAGAACACTTTATTCATGTGACACCTCTAAACCCTCAGAGTACAAATTGTCTGAATGAAGTTGGCTGTGGCAGGAGGCTTTAGTTCACTTCATTTTCAGGCTCCACTCTCCCAGGTCCCATCACCTCTAGAGACTAGAATTGATTGAAGTGGTTGCCATGGAGACACGGAGGCAGTTATCTCTTTAAATTGACCTTATTCAGGGAAATCCCAGTGTAGCTGGAGAGCTTCTCTCCGGGTCCCGCCGAGCCCCGGCAGTCCGACAGCCCACTTATAAAATAAACACAGACGCTTATATTATTTACAAACTGTATGGCCGTGGCAGGCTTCTTCCTAACTGTTCTTATATCTTAAATTAACCCATTTCTATAAATCTATACCTTGCCACATGGCTCGTGGCTTACCAGCATCTTCATATGCTGCTTGTCATGGCGGCGGCTGGCAGTGTCTTCCTCACTCAGCCTTCCACTTCCCAGGATTCTCCTCTCCTTGTCCTGCCTACTTCCTGCCTGGCCACTGGCCAATCAGTGTTTTATTTATACAGAACGATATCCACAGCATCCCAGGGAATCTCATCAATCTCATCATTCATGCCACAAGTCTAATTAAATGTTAAATTCCTCAGACAGAGGACAAGGAGGTGGGACACTGCCCAGGGACACACTGTTTGCTCATTTAAGTAAAAAGTGTGGATTTCCTTTTCTCTCTATTTCTTGTGCTGCTCCATTGGTCTAGCCCAGGACCAGGAGTCTAGGGACGAGGGTGTGACCCTTGGAGATACAGTGACCATCTCAAGGTGACATGAAGAAGCCGTAGCCTGGTTTTATCTGACCTTCCTAACTCTAACTCAGAATTTTACACACATCCTCTTCCTCAACTGGAGGAATAACCCTATGGCTCCTACAGGCTCTGCTTAGGTGACCCACAACTAGTGACATGGTGGTCCCTAAAGCCCCTGAGAGCTGCATGGTGGTAAAGTCCTCCTTGCCCTCCTCTCTTTTAGACAAAACATCTTAGTTTCTTTTCCTGACAAAAGCACCATGATGGGGAACTGGCTTATTCTGGCTCACAGTCCAAGGGTACAGGTCATCACGGTCCTGGGAATCAAAGTGACAGGACCCTGGAGCAGCTGGTCACTTCACAGCCGCAGTCAGGAAGCAGAGAGTGATGGACGCCCAACTCACTGTCTCCACTTTATGCAGTCCAGGATCCCCTGCCAGGGAATGGTCCCACACACAGGTAAGATGGGCCTCCATATCAATTAATGTAAAGATAACCCCTCACGGACATTCTCAGAGGCTAACCTTAGTCTAGATAATTTTTTTATTAGTTTGCTTTGAGACAGTGTCTCTTAACATAGCCCTGGCTGTCCTGGAACTCACTATGTAGACCAGGCTGGCCTTAAACTTCCAGAAATCTGCCTGCTTCTGCCTCCTGAGTTCTGGGATTAAAGGTGTGTGTCACCATGGCCTGCTAGTGTAGATAGTATCTGAGAAGTGCCACCAAGGCTTGTCTCCTGGGTGATTCTGGAAACATTAACCATCACACAGTCTTGCACAGGCTGACCTTGAACTTGCCATGTGGACAGGCTGCTTGAGAACTCCTGGTCCCTCTCTACTTCCTGAGAGCTGGGATCATAGCCTGTGTCACCTCACCTATTGTCTCCGTTCTGCAGGCCAGGACACCACAGAAAGATCAGTGGCTTGTGTAGGTGAAGCTCCTGTCCATGATTGCCTTCCTTCATCCTTCCCTACCTCTGTCCTCCACAGAAGTCCAGCTGTGGACTGGATACATTTTTATCTCTCCTCTTGCTGAGTCTGTAATGCTGCCTTGACAGAGGAGAACGTGGGGAGAAAATGCCCCATCTGGGGTTGGTGAGTGGAGAATTGGCACCCCTCTCCTATGCCTCCTCCTCTCAGCACCAGGGAAGGCCTGTTGGCATGGGGAGGGGACACTTACCCAGGGAGACCTGCCCACTGGCCTGCTCCACAACCTGTGCATTGCTGGGAATGCAGCTGGGCAGTGGTGCGAGACTTTGATCCCAGCACTCAGGAGGCAGAGGCAGGCAGATCTCTGAGTTCAAAGCTAGCCTGATCAGGCAGCCAGGGGGACATAGTGAGACCCTACCTAAAAAACAAAACAAGAAGGAGTGTGTGTGTGTGTGTGTGTGTGTGTGTGTGTGTGTGTGTGTGTGTGTGTGTGTGTGTTTGTACATACGCGTGCGCTTCGGTGCTGGGGTGGTTCCAGGATGGATGGTGCAGAATGGGGATTCAGTGAGGAGTGGGAGAGCATCTGTACCTCTTTGGGACAATGGAGGCACATCGACAGGTCCACCGTACCCAAGGGGGCTGGAGGATGGATGGGCTGTAGTTGGTGATACCAGGGATCACAAGAAAATCCAAAGGATCCAAGGGAGGTCATCCAGGGTGACCCACAGCATCTTGAGGCTCTGACACTGTATCAGCAGAGAGCCTGAGGAGGAGGGGCGACAGGGCAGGATGCTGGGGGCAGTCGGGGGACAGAGGGTGCATTCATCCTGCTGCAGAAAGCCTGTCCCTGGGACCCTAGATTTGTCTGGGACTCCATACCCCAGGTGTCAACTGGTTCTCATGGCCCACCCTCTTTTCTGTTTTCAGACATCAGTAGTGATGAGAATTTTCCCTTCAAACTTGCTCTGAACCACTGAGTCACTCTCCAGCCCATCCAAATTAATTTTTAAATAGTTATCTATTGTGTGTTAACAGAAAAAAAATGTTTAATCTGAAAAATAACCGTTTTCCAAAATCAAACAACGGTGTGAGAAGAAGGGATCTTTTAGCACATTTTGTTTTTCTGTGTCCTCTTCTTGTCCATTTTGTTAGGAGATCGCTGGATTTCCCTGTCTTCTTTGGCTTTAATCACCATTGTGGTTGAAGTAAATGGGGAGAAACATCCAACTTCACAGTCACACAGAAGAGCTGTTGTGTTTAATGTCTTCAGGTAGCCATGGACACTCAGTATGATACAATAAGAAAAAAACACTTTTTAGCTTTTTTAAAAAAGGTTTATTTTATTTGATGTATGTGTTTTGCCTACATGCGAGTACGTACAACACATGGTACCTGCCACCCTAGGAGGTCGGAAGAGGGCATCAGAGCCCTGGAGTTGTACAGGTGGTTGTGAACTCACGGGTGCTGGTTCAGTACAAGGGAGGGATGGGTTGAGCTGAGGAGAGGGTGGTGCCTGCAGGGAGCAGAGTGGGGCCCATGTGCCCATCAGTCTTAGTTATTGCCGTGATAATCAAAATGAACCTGGCAGAGAAAGGGTTTATTTCATCTTACACTTCCACATCCCAGTCCATCTTCAAAGGGATTCAGGGCAGGATCTTGAGGCAGGATCCTGGACGTGTGAACTGAAGCAGATACCATGAGGAACACTGCTTACTGCCTTGCTCCTCATGACTTGCTCAGTCTACTTTCTGATCCACCCAGGACCACTGCCAAGCTGTGGCATCACCCACAGTCGGCTGGGCAGTCCCATATCAGTCATTAAAAAGAAAGTGCCCTAGAGACTTGTCTAAAGGCAACATGGACGGAGGGATTTCCTCAGTTCAGGTTCCTCTTCCCACACTTGTCTGGGTTTGTGTCAAGTAAACAAACACTAAACATCACAAGCTCACGATGCAGGGTCCCTGGGACTGAGAACTGTGGGAGGATGTATACGAGCCCCTCCCCCTCTGGAGCATCAGGGCCTCACCCTCCTGGGGGAGGCCTTTGCTGGGGTCCAGCCTTCTGCAGGTCAGAGAGACTGGGAACAAGATGCCGAGTAGGTGAGGAAAAACACGGGCTTCTTCTTCTGAGGGATCAAAGTGCTTCTTCATTTCCTTTTCTTTCTGTTGCTTGTTCCGCTGTTACTTTTGGGTCTGTTCTTCTACCCAGATGTTTCCCTTCTTCTGATTTCCTGATGACTTCCTTCTAACTTCTTTTTATTCCTTACAGCTTATATACCCAAGCTTTTAAGCAACATAAAAATTAAAATGTGGTTACATTCTGTTTTTAAGTGAATGATTGCAATGAATACAAATAAAAACATCATGCTTCCCATTTCCCTTACATGATTAAACATTTTACAAATTACAGGTGAAAAACAAATTACCCCAGGCACCTTCATACAGTCAAACATTTGCCTTTAGACTTCTCATAGATCAGGAGCCTTTCAGCCATAGCTATCTACATAGGCTGAAATTTTTATAACTGCCAGAAAAAACGGTTAGTATTCTCAGTATCTTTATTTTACAGTTCTGTCCAATTATCTTAACTAACTATCCAATTTTTTTTATTACATTAAGTCAGTTGTTTAAAGTTTTGTTTTAGCTATGATGCACACTGAATCCTATGAACATATTTCCCAATTTCAAAAAGAACTTGAGTTATCTCCTGGGACTTAATTGTTTTTCGTAGTCATCAACCTAAACCGTAGTCTATGCGGCTCCTCAAGAGAAACTCTCAGGTCCTGGCTGCGTGACACTTCCTTGGTCCTATTTTCTACCCTCTGCAAACCCTGCTTTATCAGGGGTGGGGGCAATACTGTATCCTACCTTTATTTATATTAATTTTCCTATTAAACTAACCTCTATTATAATCTTTACTACATTTGTTAAAAACCCTTAATCATCAAAATTCTATTTAAACTGACACTATTATTGTATAAAATCATTTCTCCAATGAAAACAGTACAGCTTAAGAGGAAATCATCTTCATAAATGATCCACAGGTAGAATTGCCTAGTGGAATGGGATATTTCCATGAGATAATCACACTGCATCAAAGGCAGTGGGCATCCCCCCTCACCCTCTAACACCATGCCAGACACCAGAGAAAAATGGCAGCAGCAAACACCTAAAGGCACAGCAGTAGCAGGAGACACTGTGGAGCCGCAGCCCTGGGGGCCTTGCCCATCTGAGACTCACCCATCAGTGCCCTACCTTCTGGTGGGCCGATCTGAAGTTCAAGTGGCCCCTGCTGCTTCTCTGACATGGACTCTGGCAGGACCCGCTGCAAGGACAGCTGACTGCAGAGGAGGGGACCCAGTGAGTCCCAACTGCACCCTGTTCCTCAGTCTTAGGACCTTTCTCTCCCTTGCCTGGAGGGCGACATTGCTGATATAGTCCCAGGAGACTGATAAAGTCAGGGAAAGTGGAGATAGTGGGGAGAAGTGGGGACATTTTCTTCCTACAGAACAGCCAAGCCTGATTCTGCAGGGACTGAGGAGAGATAGGTAGGTTGTTGCTAAAGTTTTCCTGTCTGGCCCACAGTCAGGACAAATCTCTCTCACCTGCCAGTCCCACAGCCATCAGACCCGACCAAGTAAACACAGAGACTTATATTGGTTACAAACTGTATGGCCGTGGCAGGCTTCTTGCTAACTGTTCTTACAGCTTACATTAATCCATTTCCATTAATCTATACCTTGCCACATGGCTCGTGGCTTACCAGAGTCTTCACATGCTGTTTGTCATCGTGGCAGCTGGCAGTGTCTCTCTGACTCAGCCTTCCACTTCCCAGCTTTATTCTCCTCCTTGTCCCGCCTACACTTCCTGCCTGGTCACTGGCCAAACAGTGTTTTATTTATTGACTAATCAGAGCAACAAATTTGCCATACAGAACATCCCACAGCAGTAGGTAGGTAAGTAGATGATGATAGATAGATAGGTAGGTAGGTAGGTAGGTAGATAGATAGATAGGTAGGTAGGTAGGTAGATAGATAGATAGGTAGGTAGGTAGGTAGATAGATCATAGATAGAGGATAGATCACAGATAGAGGGTAGATAGTTAAGAGAAGACTCAGAAGGAGCATTCTTCCTCTCTTTGCACATTCATAATTTTTCTTTGGCTCAGAGTTTATGAGGCTTCCCGTCCTGCATCAAGGGACACCAATGGCCTGCACAGCTGGGACAGCATTCAGGGCTGACCTGTGGGGCTGTTCTGTTCTGAAAAGTCAGAGCAGAGCTGGAGGGTGACATAGAGGACGGACAGGGATGGGGCCTTGGGTCTGGTCTAACTGAGCATTAGGGTCCATCCTTCTTCTAGGTGAGGTGGCTGCTGCATGGACGGGACATAGATGACGGAATAAGGATAGAATGTGTCTTAGTCACTGGTCTACAGCTGTGCAGAGACACCATGACCAAGGCAACTCTTATAAAATAAACCATTTAAATGGGGGCTTCCTTCCAGTCCAGAGGCTTAGTCCATTATCGTCACGGTGGGGAGCGTGGCGGCACACAGGCCGACATGGTGCCAGAACGGTAGCTGAGGGCCACATCCTGGTCTCTGGGCAGCAGACAGAGTGAGACAGGGACTGGCATGGGCACTTGAAACCTCAAAGCCCAAGTCCAGTGGCACACTTCCCACAACAAGGCCACACCCTAATCCTTCTAATCCTCTCAGAGCCCACTCCCTGGTGACTAAGTACTCCAGCATGTGAGCCTCTGGGGCCATTCTTACTCAGAGCTCCACAGGATGTTAGAGAATTAAGCAGCAGCATCTGGCACCATCAGTCAGACTGAAGTGGGAGGGCAGGTGTGGAGGGGACCCCACGTCTCTGTCCTTTCTGACTCCCCATCCTGTGACACACAGAGGGAGGTGCTCTTCTTGCTCAGTGACCTCAGCCTCATCCTGGGAAGGCGGTGATGGCAGCAGGTCATGGCTCCTGTGACAGCCTGGACAGTTGTCCAGCCTTGTGTGTAGCAGGAGAGGACACAGGGGCCCTGGAAGCAGCATGTGAGACCCTAGGTGCCCAGGTCCCTCCATACCTGGGTCCCTGGTGGAACAAGGAGACCCTTTGTCATAAGCTTTTTGTCTGATAAACCTTCTGCTTGTGTAAAGAACTTGTGAAACAGACTGTGTAAGCTGTGAGTGTGAGTTCACGTGTCAGTCCACTTCTTCCAGTCACTTCTCACATCACATCATCCCTGTCTGCATTTCCCACACAGGCCCTCAGTGTCCCCAGTGTGGGGACACAGCCTGTCCTGAAGGAGGCTCACCAGCACCTCTGTCCCACAGCAGCAGGACGCTGTGCAGAAAGCAGGTTAGTGTCTCAGATCGTCCTTCTCCACACATGACCTGTGACACCAGCCTCTCAGCTTGGATTTGCTTCACCAGTTCCAAGGGTTTGGAGGTTTCTCTTGCCTTCAGCTGCATCCCTTGGCCTGGACAGGCAGCCCCATACGGGTGCAGTGTCCAAGGAGACCACTAGAGGGCGTCAGTGCCTAGAGTTGGAGTTCAGGGCAGATGTGAGCCACACCTTCACACACAGACAAGGTGCTGGGATCAGAACTCTCAACCTCTGGAGGGCCAGTGAATGCTCTTACCTGGTGGCCATCTTTCCAGCCCCTTGAAGATATTTTTAAATGCCATTTAACCCTCCTGCACTGGACACCAACAACTGACACATCAGTGAGGGAATGAGACCATGACAAGCTGCAAAGTCACATGTAGACGATGGGACAGTGACATGATTGTCACCTGGTTCACAGGATTGTGATGCAATCCAATTTCTGACAGCTAAAATGTCAAGAAAGGCTACATTTTTTGGCTAATACAAAGTTTTTCATGTCTGAAAAATTTACAGACTTATAGCATTGGTTGGGCGAGGTCCCTGGAGATCGAGAGCCAAGGAGTAAATGCATAAAGCTGAGGCCTAGCGACACAAGTATTTCAGATCGTCTCAGGGTCTCTATTGCTGTGAAGAGACACCATGGCCACAGCAACTCTTTTTTTTTTTTTTTTTTTTTTTTTTTTTTTTTTTTTTAAGATTTATTTATTTATTATGTATACAGTGTTCTGCCTACATGCATGCCCGAAGAGGGCGCCAAATCTCATTTCAGATGGTTGTGAGCCACCATGTGGTTGCTGGGAATTGAACTCAGGACCTCTGGAAGAACAGCCAGTGCTCTTAACCTCTGAGCCATCTCTCCAGCCCCACAGCAACTCTTATAGAGAAAAACATTTAACTGGGTTGGCTTACACTTTCAGAGGTTCAGTCCATTATCATCTGGTGGGACATGGCCGCATGCAGGCAGACATGGTGCTGGAGAAGGAGCTGAGAGTTCTACATCTTGATCCTCAGGCAAGGTAAAGTGAACTGTCTACCACACTGAGCTTAGCTTGAGCAAAGGAGACTTCAAAGCCCACTCCAACAGTGACACACTTCCTCCAACAAGGCCACACCTGCTCCAGTAAAGCCACACCTCCATTAGCATCACTTGCTATGAGCTTATGGGGTCAACTATGTTCAAACTACCACACAGCCTTCAATCCCTTTCAGGGTAACCTGGGAATTCCAGTGTGATTTGTCGTGAGTTGTGGCAGTCATGAGACCTCAGCCTGGCAGTCACCTCAGGTGGAGCAGACTCTGAAAGCTCCTCCCTCATCCCACCCTTATTTTAGTCCCTCCCTGGTCACCTCTGCGGGGACTCAGCCTGGTCAGTCAGCCTGGTAAGGTCTATGGAGGGAAGAAAAGGAGTTTCCAGTCAGAGGAGGGATGCTCGGATTACATAGGCAGCCTGGTGCCTGAGTGTCTCAACAAGGCCCAGGAATGGAATCCTGTGAGGAGAATTCTGACACCCTATGAGAATATTCCAAGAAAACAAGACCCTTGTGACCTAAGTTTCTTCAATACGTGGCATTGTCCTTAGAGTGTGTTTTCGAGCTCCTCCTAAGTGTATCAGAGAGGAGGGAGTCTACTTCAGATTACTCATTATTGCTCTCAATCAAATGTTTAGACAATCCTTTATATGCTCCTATGGAAAAACACATTTTTGTCATGTGCAGCGTATTGTGATTGTATACAGCTTGAACCCATGAACTTTACTCATGTGACCTTTCTTAACCCTCAGAGACAAATTGTCTGATGGTCTGAATAAAGTTGCTATTGCATGAGACTTTAGTCTGCCTCATTTATGGGCTCCATTCTCCCAGGTCCCACAGATTCTAGAGCAGTGACAGCTGAGTGGCCCCAACCCTAGATCCTGGGGAACCCCATCTGTACCCTAAAATGTGTGTGTACATTTAGGGTACAGAGGCTCTTCTTTTCATGTCTTATCTGTGCCAAAGAACAAAGCCACATGCAACTCCCCAGAGGACTGTTGGCATTGCAGCTCAGATGGAAAGGGATCCTGGCAGTCAGGAGCCAAGGAATACCACAAAGTCACTGTAAGCATAGCAGCTTACAACCCTGCTCCAGGGAAAGGTTTCTCCAGTACAAGATAACAGCTCTGCTCCTCAGGGGAGGGTTTCCCCAGAGCAGATGTTACAGCTGTGCTCCACTCTGAAGAAGTTGTTACAGCTCTGCTCAGGTCTGGTGAAGTGTTACAGCTGTGCTCCACTATGGAGAAGTTACAGCTGTGCTCCACTGTGGAGAAGTTACAGCTGTGCTCCACTGTGGAGAAGTTACAGCTGTGCTCCACTGTGGAGAAGTGTTACAGCTGTGCTCCACTGTGGAGAAGTTACAGCTGTGCTCCACTGTGGAGAAGTGTTACAGCTGTGCTCCACTATGGAGAAGTGTTACAGCTGTGCTCCACTGTGGAGAAGTGTTACAGCTGTGCTCCACTGTGGAGAAGTTACAGCTGTGCTCCACTGTGAAGAAGTGTTACAGCTGTGCTCCACTGTGGAGAAGTGTTACAGCTGTGCTCCACTATGGAGAAGTGTTACAGCTGTGCTCCACTATGGAGAAGTTACAGCTGTGCTCCACTATGGAGAAGAGTTACAGCTGTGCTCCACTATGGAGAAGAGTTACAGCTGTGCTCCACTGTGGAGAAGTGTTACAGCTGTGCTCCACTATGGAGAAGTGTTACAGCTGTGCTCCACTGTGGAGAAGTTACAGCTGTGCTCCACTGTGGAGAAGGTACAGCTGTGCTCCCCTGTGGAGAAGTTACAGCTGTGCTCCCCTGTGGAGAAGTTACAGCTGTGCTCCACTGTGGAGAAGTTACAGCTGTGCTCCACTGTGGAGAAGTTACAGCTGTGCTCCACTGTGGAGAAGTTACAGCTGTGCTCCACTGTGGAGAAGTTACAGCTGTGCTCCACTGTGGAGAAGTTACAGCTGTGCTCCACTGTGGAGAAGTTACAGCTGTGCTCCACTATGAAGAAGTGTTACAGCTGTGCTCCACTGTGGAGAAGTTACAGCTGTGCTCCACTGTGGAGAAGTTACAGCTGTGCTCCACTGTGGAGAAGTTACAGCTGTGCTCCACTATGGAGAAGAGTTACAGCTGTGCTCCACTGTGGAGAAGTGTTACAGTTGTCTCCACTATGGGAAAATTTCACCAGTGAAAGTGTTTTGTTCTGGTCCAGGGAAAGTGTCAGAACTGGGCTTCACTCTGGTAAAAATGTCACACTGCACAACAAACCTCACTCAAGAGATTTCTTGGAAGGAGGAATCCAGGAGGGTGGCTGCCTCTAGGGAGAGAAACAGCAGCAAACAGAACAAGGCACAGAGTTTATGTAGGGTTTTTGGGGGGAAGGGCAGAGCTTTCCAGGGTGGCTTGGGATTGGTGGGTTTTTGTAGCCTGACTCTGGGGCAAGCTCCGGGCTTGGTGGGATTTCAAGCCCTGGTCTTGGGGTCAAGTCAGGGGCGGGGTGTATTTCCTTGGCCTGGATCTCAGGGATAGTCAGGGAGGGACAGAGTGTTCTCACCCTACAGGGACAAGCCCTTCTTTGGGGTGACAGGAGCCTGATCCCTGGAGCTGGCCCACCTGGTAGGTCCTCCAAGGAGGGCAGACACCAAGAGGGCAGAGCTTGGCATGGGCTGTCCCTGGGGCTGGGCTCTTTCTTCTCTTATGCCAGTCCCATGCTGTGACCTGACTTAACGCAAATAGTCTCTCTGAGACTGGGCACTGGGCCAGGATACTCTGAGTTTGAATTCCAATGTTATGGGTGAGCTCTGTGGGGAGGTGTTGATCCTGCTGGGGCCCTTGGGTTTTTGGTAGTTTGGGGTCCTGCCCTTCCTCCAGGGTTTATTTTAAGTGTCCCATTCCCTGGGATCAGGACTACTATTTTGTTTTGTTTGAGATAGCGTCCCATTTTATAGCTCTGGCAGCCTGGAATTTACTTTGTAGACCAAGTTGGACTAGAACTCATAGATGCCCACTTCCCTCTTCCTCCTGAGTCCTGGATTGAGGCCTGCACCACTATGGCCAGCCATGACTGGTGTGTGGTCACTGGTTTGTGCTTTAACTAAAAGGGCCTTAGGGAGGGCAGGAGGAACCACCTGTGTACAGGTTAGAAGCTCCTCTGTCTCTCCATAGCTTTCCTTTCTCTGTGTCCAATGGACTTGGATCCTCTTTGAATGTTCTAGTGGCCCTGTTCCAAGGTGACATCTCTATCCTGGGGGAAGCTGTGAGAGGATTCTGTAGACGAAACTCTAAACGGTCTCATCAAATAGGAAACACAGAGCCAAATACACAGTTAAAAGCCCAAGAGATAGAGCAGTAGCGAAGAGCCAAGACCACCTTATCTTACCAATCGCTGCTGTTGCTTCCCCTGAGAGAGAGACCTTCTTCCTGTGTGACTGTCTTTTTATTGCCTTTCTGTTCTGCCTTCTCATTGGCTCTAAACCCAACCACAGGACTTCCTCATTACTGCCTGTCTATACAGACCTCTAGGTCTCTATGGTTGGTACTGGGATTAAAGGTTCAGATCACCATGCTTGGCTGTGTCCTTGACCACACAGAGACTCTGCCTGCGGTGTGATCGGATTAAGGGCGTGTGCCACCAATGCCAGACTTCTGCTCAATGGCTAACTTTTACCTCTGATCTCCAGGCAACTTTATTTATTTATTTATTTATTTATTTATTTATTTATTTATTTATTTATTTTTTGGTTTTTCGAGACAGGGTTTCTCTGTGTAGCTTTGCGCCTTTCCTGGAACTCACTTGGTAGCCCAGGCTGGCCTCGAACTCACAGAGATCCGCCTGGCTCTGCCTCCCGAGTGCTGGGATTAAAGGCGTGCGCCACCACCGCCCGGCAACTTTATTTATTAACATACAAATAAAACCACATTTCATCACAAATAAAATATCACCACAGGATTCCTTCAGGGATGCCCTAGGAGAACTCTGATCAGGGCCAAAGCCATTGCTGCCGCCTGCTGGCCTTTTCCTTTCTGTTTAGAAGGATCACAGAACAGTATCCCACAGGATGGTGGGGCTGGTTTGGGTGATGGGTGCTCTGGAAGGTCCTTTGTTGTCTGTGGTTCTGTCTGGTTTCTTTCTTCTTTTATCCATCATCAGGGATCTTTCTATTTTCCAAAGTCTATGAAGCTCCCTTCCCTCAGTTTCTCCCTGGTCCTCCTTCCTAGCTGTGAGTCCCTCACTCTCTAAGAGGGAGGTTTGCAGAAATCTGGGCTATGAAAGGTGGGGCTCAGCCTGGAGCTGTGGGGTTGTCCAGGAGGTGAAATGAGGGGGGCAGGAGCAAAAAAAAAAAAAAAAGCTCCTTCAGCAGGAATTTGAAATTTTGGTTTGGTGATCTCAGCTTGAGGAAGGTGTCAGGTGCAGTCCTGGGACTATCCTGCAGTCCTACTGCTCCAGGAGGGCACCAGCCTGTCTGTTCCTGCAGCGAATGAATGGGATCCTTGAGGTCTTTCTGAGCAGTGTCAAAGAACAGGAGTCAGAGAGAATGTGATTTCAGTGGGTTTCTGTCTGGGGAAGATGATGGAGTCAGAGTGCTGTCTGTAGTGGGCAGAGGGGTGTAGCACAAATCCTAATTGGTCTTAA